ATGCTCTGTTATTTTTGGTGTATTTAGAGTGAGGGACATTTATGTACAGGTGGAAAGTCAGACTCAGAGCTCAGCATGGAGGTTCAGTGTAGAACTGTAGGTTGGGAGGTCATAGTTGATATCTTAATAATTGATAAGCTAGATAATGAGAGTAAAGAAGATAAGCCAGTGGAGAGTACAGCTTCAGAAAAGGCTGCATATGATGAACAAGAAGAGGAGATATTAAAGGAGGAAGAGAGAGAGAGTGGTCCAAGAAATAGTAGTAAAAGGGTACTGCAATATCATAGAAACCACAGGATAAGTTTTTCTCCCAAAGAAGAATTAAATGTCATGGAAATAACCTAAGTATCCATTGACAGATGAATGGAGAAAGAAAATGTGGTGTACACACACACACACACACACACACACACACACACACACACACACACAGAGGAATATTATTCAGATATAAAAAAGCACATTGTGCCTTTTGCAACAACATGGATAGACCTTGAGGGTGTTATGTTAAGTGAAATAAGTCAGAGAAAGACCAATACTGTATGTTCTCTCTTACATGTAGAATTTAAGAAAAGCTGAACTCAAGGAAACAAAATAGATCGGTGGTTGCCAGGGGCTGGGGAGTGGGAAGAAGTGGGGAGATGTTGGTTAAAGGGTGCAAGCTTCCAGGTATAAGATGAGTAAGTTCTGGAGATCTAATGTACAGCATGGTGACTATAGTTAACAACACTGTATTGTATACTTGAAAGTTGTTAAGAGACTAGATCTTAAATGTTATCGCCACAAAAAATGTAATTAGGTGGGTGTTAGAGGTGTTACCTAATGTTAGTGTGGTAACCATTTCAAAATATGTATATTAAATCATCGCATTGTACACCTTAAACTGGCACAGTGTTATATGTCAATAATATCTCAAAAAAGCTGAGTGAAATGTATTAAGTACTTGGAGGTGAGGAGAATGAGAAGAGGCCATTCTACTCAATGACTTTCTGAGATTTCAATGTCAGCAAATGGTGAGAAGTGCTTGCTGGGCTGTGTGTGATGGAAGTTAGCATTGGAGTTAAGAAACCTGCAAAGTTTGGTAGTAAACGAAAAAGGGGAGGAAAATGGAAGCTTGAGGGCTTAGCAAGCTGGAGTGAAATTTGTTTTATCTTTTTAATACTGGGGGGGGAAAAAAAAAAGAAAGAAAAGACCCAGGGCCTTGGAATAATTAATAGACAGGGACCAGGGAGAGAGGGAGAGGATGAAGAATAAAGTTCAATTATTTAAAGCTGCACCCTGGTACACAACCTTTTTTTCTGCCTATGTGGAGATACATGGTTGTCTTGTAGAAGACATATTAAATGCAGTTGCTTATATTTATTTTTTTTCTTATGGAAAAAAAAAGGTTAATATGAATTTTTAATGTCATTAATTCACTCATTTAACAAATAGTTATTGAATGCCCGTTCCACATACTGCATGATAGGTCCTAGGAATCCAGCAGTAAAAAGAATAGCATGACTTCTCTCTCATGGTACTTACAGTCTACCAATTTAGCTGTTATTTAAAATTCTTTGCCTTCCTTTTAGGTTCAGTTGCAGACTCTGCTTCAAAGCAAGTATGTGGAATACTTCATTGAGCAAGTCTTAAGCTGGCAAAATAAGTTAAACATAGCAGACTCAGTCATCTTTACTTGGATGGAAGTCCAGCGAACTTGGTCTCACCTAGAAAGCATCTTTGTGTGTTCAGAAGATATTCGAATCCAGCTTGTGAAAGATGCTAGAAGATTCGATGGAGTAGATGCTGAATTTAAGGTTTGTAGAAGACTGACTGTTTTCTATCCTAGCAAAGTTTTCCAAACAATGTGAAAATCTTGTAAAGGAACATGATTTGGGGTATTGTGTTTATAAAAGTAAATATATGTTTGCGTTTCAGAAAATTGGGCTCAGAACATTTTCTGTGAAGTGTCAGATAGTAAATATGGCCTCTGTCACAACTACTCAATGCTGCCATTGTAGTGGAAAAGAAAACAGACCCGACATAAAGTGGGTGTGGCTGNTGAGACATTCAGTTTCTTATTCTGTGAATAAGAAACCAGTGTGTCCAAGTGGCCTGTACATAGTGGACTCATCTATGAAGGAGTAGATTCTTTTTCAATGGTTTTAGTTCTTAACCTAGGGGCTTCAGTGTTTTTACTCTCTTTTCTAATCCAGGGAAGTATATATTTATTCTTTCAAAGGAGGCAAATTATGAAATGTGTCGTTATATATGGGGACCTGTTTTGTTTGTGTGTGTGTGTGTGTTTTTTACTGTAGGAAATCTGGTCACTAGACAAGGAAGTGCGTGTCTGGGACGCTTACGTAGGCCTGGAAGGCACCATAAAGGACATGACAACGTCCCTGAGAGCTGTCATGGAATTACAGAGCCATGCCCTCAGAGACAGGCATTGGCACCAGCTGATGAAGACCACTGGGGTCAGTTTTCTGAGTCTCATTACTTGAATATTTTTGTGACTGTGAAGTGTTACTCTTTGGTTTACATTATTCATTGGGGAGGAAGTAGGAGTCGTGAAAAGTTCTCTGGGCAAATGGGAGAGGTCAAGCTCTTGAGACAGATTGAACCAACAGACTGAACATGCAAATGTCCTCGCTTGAGCCCCTGGTATGAACTAAGTACGTTCCCCGAAAATTAATATGTTGAAGCTTCAATTCCCAATGTGATGGTATTTGGAAGTGGGTCCTTTGGGAGGTAATTAGGTCATGAAGGTGGAACCTTCATAAATGAGATTTGTGCCTTTATAAGAGGATGAAAAGATCAGAGCTTTCTATCTCTCTGCCATGTTGAGGATACAAGAGACAAGACATATGTAAACTAAGAAGAGGACCTTCCCCAAGAAGTTAACCATGCTGGTGCCTTGATCCTGGACTTCCAGCCTCCAGAACAGGGAGAAATATGTGTTTGTTGTTTACG